TGGTCAGGGGACAGAGTCCACCAAAACAAAGGAAAGCCCACCCTCTCAGGTGAGGGAGGGACCACAGAGCCAGAAATTCAACTGATTACAAGAGACAAAGAATAAAAAACGGGGATGGGGTGCAGGTCACAGGATCAAACAAGGGATCCAGAGGAGGACACCAAGCAGAGAACTCAAGACAATGCCACCTCTTCCAAGAAGGTGTCAGTCAATGCCATCCAGAGGAACTCTTGACAAAGGAATATACCATAACTGATCGCTGTATTTGGGGTCAGGAAGGAATTTCCCCCTGGGTCAGATTGGCTGAGACCCTGGGGTTTTTTTGCCTTCCTCTGCAGCATGGGGTATAGGTTGCCTGCCGGTTTAAACTAGTGTAAATGGTGGATTCTCTGTAACTTGAAGTCTTTAAATCATGATTTGAGGACTTCAGTAACACAGATAGAGGTTATGGGTCTATTACAGGAGTGGGTGGGTGAGATTCTGTGGCCTGCAATGCGCAGGAGGTCAGACTAGATGATCATGATGGTCCCTTCTGACCTTCAAATCTGAGAGTATGAGTCTATCTAAAATCTCAGAAATTCAGCATAGTTGAAGACCAAACACCCTTGTATGTTGTATTTGTACACAATGGCTATTTTATCCAACCTGGAAAGAGAATCACTCAAGGAATCTTTAAAATGCTGTGAAGTGATCCTATTGGAGCCTCATAGGCCTGCCCGAATTGTGAGCCTAATTGTGGGAAAGTGGATGGAAGTTTATAAAATGGTCCAATCATCTATAAAATAAATGTTGATGGGAAAAGGCAACAAATGACCAACTCTGCCTGTTACAGGTACTTTAACCATTTTTAACCTTCTATCCACTTTCCCACAGTTAGGCTCTCAACTAATATGGACTACTAGACCCCAATGCACCTGCATGGAGCCCCATTTAAGTCCAACTTCATGGGCTGTGTGTAGCAAAGCAGTCCATCCGACAACAAGCTGCAGGATCAGGACCATACTATAGAAATACAATATTCAACAAGTGTGTTGGTGATTCAGAGATATCAGTTTCGTTTTTTGAGGTGTTGCCATTGTGCCCAGAGTGTTTAATGCATTTCTGAACCTGGGAAGAGAAAACTTGAAACTCAGTTAACACAGGAGAGGATTGAGGGGTTTGGACAAACACTATCTCTGCACTTATAAACATGATTTGACTTCTACCCCGCTCTAATTTTTACATGGCTCCCCAATACCCTTTCTATTATGGGCCTGATCATGCAGCCTTAAATTACATGAAGAGTCCCACTGGAGATACATGATCAAAAACTGCTGGACCGAGTTCTATATCAACAGCATTTTTGAACCTGCTTCATCTCATTCTATTCTAAATGTGCTAAGCACAAAGGCATAGACAAATATAATAAGGCACAATTAACGGATCTGATCCTGCAAAGCCCTCTAGGTGGGAAAAAAATATATAAAATGAGAGACAACAGGTGGATATAACAAACAGATGTGGGGAGCACAAGGAAACAGTGACTCAATTATGGTAAAAAGAAAAGGAGTACTTGTGGCACCTTAGAGACTAACCAATTTATTTGAGCATAAGCTGTAGTTCACGAAAGCTTATGCTCAAATAAATTGGTTAGTCTCTAAGGTGCCACAAGTACTCCTTTTCTTTTTGCGAATACAGACTAACATGGCTGTTACTCTGAAACCTGTCATTATGCAATACAATTATGGTAAGTATAATGAGGATTAATATATTCATTTCAAAGGGTCTGACATTAAAATTACAAAGACAATTGTAATTAATATTGCTGTTGTATGCTATACCACCCACTGTACATGTACTCATTGTATATGGAATATGCCAGAGAACCATTTATCCTTTTGCACTAGGCAAAAGTGTAAAGATTTTCAAGGACAATCATTGTAGTACTAATTGATGCAGCAGATGTTTGATTCCATATAAGAAACCTAGTTGGTTCCTGGTCTGGTTAAACTGTGATCAGAAAAATACTTTTATTACAAGGTAGTCTTGGAAGAGCAGATATACTTTATTATGTAAACTCAGACCTTTGCACGAGGAAGTGAAGATGTAAGGCTGGCTTTTAAATTTTAAGGAGTCAGTTGCTCATACAGTACACAGAAATGTCCAGTATAAAAGGGCTTAAGGTGAAGAGACTAAGCATTCCTAAATACGTCCATGCCTAGTCTAGTGTAGCTGCTCACAGAGCTATTAGCTTCCCAGGAAGGCTGAATGGCCCAGAATTATTCGCAGGGCTTCTTAGCCTTCAAAAAGAGGGTTGAGTAGGGAATCAAGGGGGAAAAAGACATTATCGATGAGGACAAATCAGTCTTTTAGAGGAAAGGGAATAAAAGCTGAAATTTCAAGCAGAGAATTGGCAAATGAAGTTAACCAAAGCAATCTTCCTACAGAGCTCTCCTAACCCACCAGGCAAGTCCACTAATAAGAGAAAAAAATAAGTTCAGTATCAGAAAAAATTGATTAGTAGCTCAGTTAGCCCAAGTACTGTGCGGAAAAACCCAGCCTTGTCCACCTCAACACGTGGCAGTGAGTTATGGTCCACAACATTCCACAGTGGTCTCTAAGGCCTTGTCTCGGAGAAACGTACAAGGAAATTTTGCTACTTTCCACAGGCTGAAACCATAGCAAAATGCTACAACTATGAACTCAGAAGCGACTAGGGAAAAAAAAGGAGGTGACTAGAAAAGAAAAAGGAGGTGTGGTTGCAAGTTCTGATTAGTGGAGATGAATCACATACTTGGGTCAGATTGGCAGCTGCTGGAGGAGGCCAGGCATGAACTCAGAAAGAACAGGATGGAGTCTCAATGAATCCCTGTCAATTTTCGGAGCAACTAGTTCAGATACTATGATTTCTCATTAACTTAACTCTATGGACAGACATATACACATCTTTCTACATATTCATTTGGATACCAGTCTAGGAAATGTCACTGTCTTAAGGGTTAACCATGCTATCTACAATGCGTCTGATGCCATCACAGCTTGCCCAGGCTGTTAATAATGTTCCAGATGTCTTTGTTGCTTGACAGCTTTTACTTTTCAGGGTTACCTTTTGGTTTCTCAGTTAATATTTGATCAGTGGCATTAGGGACAGGGACAGGAGAAGGACCCATTGCAACAAACTTCTGACCTTATAAGAATGGCAGAATAAATGAAACTCAGCATTCAAAAGGTTCAGAGGGTTTGAACCTACAACATTGAAATGGGAGTTTGCAATGCCATCAAAATGCTGAAAGCCCTAGTTTTCAACGTTATTGTGTGTGTCTTGCTGAGCACTGGCCCTTTGTTCAGTGCAGTACAGAACAAAGCTAGAAACATGCTCATTCCCCCATATTTACAGTGTAAGTACAGCTGTTAAAACCTAACAATTAAGCCTTAACTAAATCATGTCACTTAACCGCAGACTCTGTCATACAATATTCCAGCAGCAATGCTTGGTGTTCAGCCTCTATATGAAGCTTTAAATTTAAAAAAGGCTCCAAATGCCAATTCAGCTCCAACTTCCTCTTTTCTTTTGCTGCCAAAGCACTCTGCTTACTGACCTTTCAAAATTCTCTCTCTGATGAGCAACAGGAACCTAAAGCCACACTAGTCTCACCCGCAAGTTGTCCTCCCTTTTTATGCTTAATCATACATACCAAGAACCAAGGGTAACATTTTCAAAAGAGCTTATATCCCATTTTCAGAAATGACCAACATACTTATGAGCTGAAGTCTCATTGAAAAACCAATGGAATTTAGCCTCCTCAGTGTGTTTGTAGCTTTAAAAAAAAAATAACAAAAATGGAATGTAGGCTCCTAAATCACCTAGGCACTTTTGAAAATTTTACCCCAAATATTTGATTGTGGTGATACCCGGTAATATTGCAAAGGGCAGTTCACCCCCATTATTGTAGGTGGGACAACTGAAGTAAGAAACCACAAGATTATTTTTAAAAATTATTTCAGTGACACAATTTTATCATTGAAATATTTTTCATTCCTACAGTGTTGCCCATCTGAAGTATCTCATATAAATATTAATCAATGAAGCCTCACAATAATCCTGTGATGTAAGGTGGAGAAACTAAGGCACAGAGAGGTTAAGTGATATTATATTGGGTCCCAAAGCAAGAGGCAGGCTGTGAAAGAGCCAGGAATTAGAGTGGGTCAGAAAATGTCCCGTCCCCCCGGACAATTTTGATTTTTCCTTTGAAAAAACAAAAGATATTTGACAAAAACCTCAACGTTTTCTAAAGCAGACACATTTTGCTCAAAATTTCATTTGATCAAACCCCAATTTTCTTGAAAAATCATACTGATGGAAAATTTTCAGCTACCTCTTCCAGGAATAAAACTAATATCTCCAAATCCCAATCCCCATGTCTTAACGAGACAGGGTTTTCAAGAGTGACTAGCAATTCTAAGTGCCAAACCTGATGGAGATTTATCTGAGCACCCTTTAAAACGAAATCCCTTTAAAGCATCTCAGGTTGGGCACCTAAAATGGAGGCACTGAAAAATCACTAAAAAGAATGAGGAGGACTTGTGGCACCTTAGAGACTAACCAATTTATTTGAGCCTAAGCTTTCGTGAGCTACAGCTCACCTCATTGGAGGCATCCGATGAAGTGAGCTGTAGCTCACGAAAGCTTGCGCTCAAATAAATTGGTTAGTCTCTAAGGTGCCACAAGTCCTCCTTTTCTTTTTGCGGACACAGACTAACACGGCTGCTACTCTGAAACCTGAAAATCACCTGCCGCTTTTGAGAACCTAGAGCCCAGCCTTCCTCCATTTTTGTGTTATGTGAAGTGTAGTGTAGCATAGCATAGGGATCTCTTTGGCCAAGAGACTTGACAGTCTCAATGTGCACATTTGCTGGAAGATGACATGGGTATGGAAATCTCCCTGGCCAGACAGCAGGTCTGATTGCAGCTGTTTTAAAATTGGCCTGCGAACTAGGTCATGATTGTGACTTGGTCTTACCTTAGGCAGCCTGTACTTTTCTCTCAGATGAACCCTCAGACAGGCTCTCTCTGCCTTTTTTTGTGCAAATGCTGCATCTCTCTCCATCCTGAAATCAAAATAAGAGGAGTGTAACCAGAAACCCATCATGTGACAACTTGTCATTGTCACGGAACTAATTACTCAGCTATAGAAAACTAAAGGCTGAAGTCATTCTCATCCCATTTTATGCTTTAACACAGCATAGTCTGTATCAGACTAAACAAACAACAACGAACAGATGCAGAGCTCTTTCCAGACATTTACTAATCAGCTTCATGGCACCTATAGAAGATAGGTTAGTATTATGCTCATTTTACAGAGGAACTTGAGACACAAAGTCAAGTTACTGGTCCAAAGCTAGAAATGGAGTCACGGTTAGAGGTTGCACTAGAAGTCAGGAGTCCCTGGTTACCAGGCCTGTGCTCAGACTAGTAGGTCATTAATCTCTGTAAGAAATGAAGGACAAGTCTAATGATGTAAGTTATGTTTTGGTCTCTCCTCCAGTTTTGTTCTCTCTGCTTGGCTGGATCTTGCACTGATTATCACTGAGATCAATGGAGAGCTCTTTACAGCAGAATCTGAAAGTTCAAATCTTTCCCTGATAATCTGAGAGGAGACTCTTACCCTCCATTCAGTAAAAATATGCCTGTTCAAGGGAGGCAGCTATATCACCACAAATTTAATGGGAGCAATAAAATAAAATAAAATAAAATAAAAGTGGTGATAGGTCTGTTTACCTCTCACATGACCATTGCTTCCAAGCGATATTTGATAGGGACGCTACTTTTGGGCCAAATGCAACAGTCCTTAATCAAAACTCCAGGATTTGGCCATTCCTATCAAATGTCTTCCAAGACTGAAGCCAAATAAGGGGTAAACAGACATTCGTCACCGCCAAATTTATGAATGGCCATTTTACTGAATCAAGGAAAAATCTGACTTAAATTGATTTTAAAAACATTCACTGTGTTTTTTGGTTAGATTGTTTATATTTTTAGCTGTAAAGTTGATAACACTACAGCTGGTTGAGAACTATCCCCCGCGCCTCCCCCCCCATTCTCCAAATTTCTTCATTTTCATGAATTTTTTTCATAACATGTTTGGTTTTTGTACAAAACCCAAAAGTGGTTTGATCAAATCTTAACCATAAGCTTTCAGAACAATATACGTGGATTTAGCAGATTTAAAACTTCCTTTAAAGTTAAAAACCTGCATACATAATATGCAATTGCCTGCCATGCAGTTTCCTGTTCCTGTCCACTAGAGGCTAATGGGCTGTTGTGGATTCATAACAAACTGTGACATATCTATTAGGTCGTGTAATCCACCCTCTTGCCGTTGCAACATTATTTTCTGTGGAACATATTCTAGAGTTTCATGTAAACTAGTTTTAAGCATCCACTTGAAAAGCTATTCCACAGCCGAAGCAGACCTCACTCAGGAACTTATTCTGATATTCAGCATACATTTTCTCACCTAATGTCATCCCAATACTGTAGGTAGCCTGCCCGTGTACAATAATAAGAGATTCTCTTTCTGCATTTTTACATCCATCACATACCTGTAGATAGTCATTTCCCACTTATTTATTGCTATCATCAAATCTTTACAAAGAAGATGGGGTTAAAGTGTGACTTCAGAGAGGAAGTTCTAGAAAATCAAGGCTAGAATTGATGCCCATCTATCATGAATAGTGAAATCAACCTGCTTATAATGCAGGAGAATGGACTATGTGACTCATTAGAGGACCCCTTTGCTGTTAACAAGTCTCTCATTTGCTCGTTTACATGCCTTCCTGATGAATGGTGATTGATGCATTTTCACATTTTTAACCTAAGCAGTGTTGGTTAGAGATTAAACAAAAATAGTGGAGACAACGGGGTCACGTCAGGGGTTCTAATCCAGTCTGAGCCTCTGACTCACTATGTGACCTTGGGCAAGTCATTTAACCTCTTTGATCCTCAGGCTGTGCAGCCCTAAAACTGAGTAAAATTAGGAGGTCACTAAAACCAGATGTTGTATCTGTGATCATGTTTCCAGGATGAACTGACATACAATTACAGAACTAGTGCAGTGTCCAATTCCATCATTCAGTTTTTCTATGCAAAAACACTTAACCATTTTCATTACAGTTTCCCTATCCCCACCTGTGCTGGAAGGGAAATTGTTCACTTATTGACTTATAGCACAGCTTCATATTTAAAAACACAGCACACTTCAAAACATTATTGAAATAACATGTTCTTCTCTTTCGAATCTTTTCTCCTCTCCAGATTTCTTGCTTTGCTTATCTATTCCAACACAGCATCTTTTGGCCGGCTGATTGAAAAGAAAAAATAATCTCCCACTATGTAATGTACCACAAAAGAAGGTAACATTTTGAATTGTTTTTACAAACAGGTTATATTTATTCAGAATTTTATGACTGAAATTGCTGCTGCTAAATATAGACCTGGATACCTCTTAAATTCCATAAGTCATTAACCTTTCACCTATAATCATCTTAAATGTAGGATTTATACAACCATTATGTAATTGATCGTTAGTGAACTAGATGCAGTGGAGATTTAGAATTCAATTGTCTTTCTTTATTATTATGCAGGGTTTAAACTCCTATCTGCTTGAAACCCATTATTTTACTTTATATCTGCTATGTAAACAATGCCCACGCATTTTATTTGTCAGAAGGTGGTTACAGATTGCAATTATCAGCCAAATAAAATTCCTGAGCTGTAAACAGAGAGCAAACCTCTCTGCTTCATTTAATAGAGAGTTTGGACAACTGAAAAAATGGTTTAAATTTATAGTTTTGAAATTAGTCAAGCATCCTTCAAATAAACATTACCAGTTTTACATTCTTCATTCTTCCCTGTCCTCAATTTTTGCAACAATAAATGGGGGAGATAAAATATTTTAAGCATGTCAGATTTAGTGTTTTAAGTGGGTCAATCATATGATTTTCAGCATTAACCACTGCATTCTTAGATTGCAACCAGCATTTACACCATTAAACCTACAGAAATAAACTTGAAAGAAATTATCTTGCCCATATGGAAGCAGAAAGCAACACCAGCACAAGATGTGTAGGTGAGTGTGTGGGGAGGTGGGGAGGGTGGAAATGAGGGTGAAGGATGAAACCATGATACAAAACATCTTACAATTTTCAACTAGATGAGCTTTTGTTTTGGAGAGGCTGTTCAGAAAGCAATGTTCCCTATGCTTTAAAATAGGAATGTGGGGTAAGGGGACAATGTTCTGGCTTTTTCTGGGGTTATTCTCAGATGAGCCAAGTCATCATGAATTAGTCACACATTGATAATAAGGGAATGTGTACTCACTTCTCCTCAACAATTTGCTTTTGATATTCCTCATATTCCTCTCTAGTCATTCCTGCTGCTGCAGCTGGGTCGGAAGGACCACTTTCTTCTTTGCTTTCCTCACCTCCACCACCAAGTCCTAAATTCTTGACCTGGTTGCTCAACATGCTTTTCATTAAGAAAGCCATTTTCTTCCCAAGAAAATTTAAAAACCAAACCAAACAGGCTCCTGAAAGATAACAATACGTTTGTCAGCAAAGGAATTTCTACAGCCTCAGCAGCTCTTCAAGGGCACAATGCTAGCGAGAAGTGGATGCCAAAAACAGTTCGTCAGCCATAATCTGGATTAAAGTGGTGAACTCCTTAGTATCTAGAGGCAGATGGTTCAGATTACTCCAAAAAGTCATTAGATGCAGCTACCTACTTTTAATATTAATACCTTAAGCTAATTGTAAATACAGAAAAATTCACATAGTTCACAATAGCATTTTGATTTTAGTCTTAAAACTCTCAATTACATGGAGACCAAAAAGCCTTAATCAGAACACACAGTATCTGAAATAAAATTGATGATTACATGGTTGATTCCATGATCACAGCAGAATTGTAAAATTCAGGCTACTGAGCAGCAAATTCTGTTGGATGTACACAGTCCAATGAGATTTGAAAACTAGGATTCTTCATTAAGCAAAAACAATCCTTTTATCCATTAAAATTTTTATCCCATTGGACAGAAAGTACAGTACAATGGGGGTTTTCTTCATCTGCTTTTTCAAGCCTTTTAAATGGTTGGTTTCTAGGACAGATGAACTAATCCTTAGTGTGATCAGAACTTTTTTTTTTTTTTAAATAGAGGGAAGAAATTATATCTTTCCATTTTTCTCCACCATTCTGATTTACTTATGGCACTAAACTCTCTCTAGACCATCATTTGATTGGCACTGCATGGAATATTTAGTGCGGAAGGTTCTTAGTCAGGTAAGAAGAAACGCATTTTGTTCAGCTAGCTTACAGCATTGCTATCCTTTGTCTGAAAATTGTCTTCTTGGGACTGGTCTTGCATACCCTTACTCACATGAATGAGCCCACTGACTTCAGTGGAATTAGTTGTGTGACTTGGGTATACTCATATAAGGGTTTGCAGGAGCTGGCACTTAAGATTGCAAACTCTTTGGGGACAGGAAACTGTTCATATGTCTCAAATGCCTTGCACACTTTGGAGTATTTTTATAATCACACCGAGGATTATTGGGTACTGTTTAATGAAATATTTTTGCGCTCTGATCATCAAAATGGCTCTCCCAATGCAGTCGTCATTTCATTGGCAATATGGGAGGAGTCCAGTTCAGTTAATGCCCTAATCTACATTAGTACCTTTCTAATTAAAGCACTCCCTGCTACTAAAAAAAAAAGTGCAGGATGTCCAGTAATCCTGGATTATCTCTGATTAAACAACAGACTTTAACTTTCCTTTTGAAAACAGATAAATATTACTTAGGAGAATTTAAAATCAAACAAAATACATCTGATCTACTGAAAAGATTTACAAAACTATTGTTTTTTTTTAAAGCCTGAAATCATTTTGTAAACATTATGCTCCCCTTTAAGGTCCTGCATAACTGAATTCTTTGGGAGTAGGGATTGCCTTCTACTTTGCTGGTTTATTCAGCACCTAGCAAAACTGGGCTCCAGGTACTTTCCAAAGTTTCAGTCATCCAATCAGGGACCAAGAAACAAGAATATGCAAATTATGTGACTAATCACAGTTTGAATAGAAAATTTGGACCAGTTGCAGCTCAGGAGCAAGCCACAGACTGAAACTGATGCGCAAACTGTTTGCCAGATAATGAATAAAACTCATTATCTAGTTGTGCAGTTTGCAAACAGAAAAAAGAAAAATAACCCAACCTGTTCCATTCATTGGCCAGAATACAGATACATGCATCACTTTTGGTTTGACAAAGGACTATTAAGAATTTGCACAGATACAGTTGCCAATCTCTAAATTACTATGAGCCCACATTACGCAGAAGAGAGTAACAATAGTAGTAATTAATGTCTTACATTTACAAAGCACCTTTACAAGCTCTATAGATAAGCATCACCATGCCCATCATAGAGGGGAAGTTGCTTCCAAAATGAATCATGGTTGCTGTTAAAGGGTAAAATCCAGGTAGAGTGCACAGTCCAGACAAATCCATGTGGAGCTGAGGAATGCCCCAATCTACAGCAGGTGGCATGTTTCAGCTATGTGGGCATAGCAGAAATATCAGTTTTACTAGGTCCTGCATAAGTGGGTTGATACATGGTTCTGTACACTTTGCAGAACGTCTGGCTATATCTTTGTCTCACCCCTGCAAAGTGCCCAGAGAGCTGCAATGGAGTTGGCGTTCAGAATCCCCTGCACAAGCTTTCTCTGGTCTGGCAGCTCTGCAGGGATTTGGCTACTCAAATACCATGATGACTGGTGCATCTTAACCTGAATAGGGCATTTTATTCTTCAGGTGGTTAGCTGACGTACTCTGAAGCTAGGAACCGGCGTTCTCTAGTTTTGCTTGGAGTAGCTTATTGTGACAGAACAAAATTCAGATGTATTGGTATAAGAAAAATCTCACCATGCTGCTTCTGGAACAGCAGCCCTAGAAAACACTCCCTTTCTCTTTGTTAGGTCAAGAAAGACCTGTCCTCTGTTTACTAATGTATGTAAGATCGTATCATGAGGATCAAGACAGGAGATGACCTCTCAGAAGCAGGCTGGCAACACTCCTGCACAGCCCATCTTCCTCTTAGCGAACAAGCATTTGCTGGCTGTGGTGCACAGTGAGAGCAATCCAATTATGTATGAAGACCACTTGAGGCTATGAGCCACGTGATGGATGTTTCCTTCAGACCAATGGCTCCTCTGCCACATCTATATTTAAAACCCAAAAGATACAGACTTCCGCCCATTTTTTCTGTTTCACACCTCTTTTTGGTCCCTGTCCTTCTGCGCTCGGTAGTATCACTCCTCAGTGACCTAAAGGAGGATACAAAGTAACTCTCAATGTCATCAACATAGTTTTAAGTGGCTTTCCCCAGCCCATCCAGTGAGTTAGTGTCAGAGGCAGGATTAGAATTTAGAGTTCCTGCATCTCAGCTACATCCAACAGGCCAGCAGTTGGATTGATGGACCACCACTTGTCCATAGGCACTTCCTACTTGTCAGTACAATAAAGCATTTGGAGACCGTCAGCTCTTCAGGGCAGGGACAGTCTTCTAGTTCTGCATTCAGAACATAAGAATAACTATACTGGGTCAGACCAATGATCCAGCCAACCCAGTATCCTGTCTTCCGACAGTGGCCAATGCCAGCAGCTTCAGAAGGAATGATCAGAACAGATTATCAAGTGATCTATCCCCTGTTGTCTAGTCCCAGCCTCTGGCAGTCAGAGGTTTAGGGACATCCAGAGCATGGGATTGCATCCCTGACCATCTTGGCTAATAGCCATTGATGCACCTATCTTCCATGAACTTATCTAATTCTTTTCTGAACCCAGTGTGACAAAGTTCCTGCTCTACCTTGGTGGGTCCTGCGCTTATTGGGGGATTTTGCTCACCTCAGAGATTCACAGCAACGCTCAGTTTGGCCACTTTAATGGCTCAAATCTGCTGTTCACTCAGATAACCTCATCACTGGCCAGCATGGGAAAAAAAAGAGTAAAAACAATCCCCGCAGTTTCTGCTGATCCACCCTGTGAGTCGGGGACCAGCTCAGAGACCTTCACCTCTGGTGGAAGCTCCTGTGTTGGGTCAGGAGTTGGGAGTTTTGCTTGGAGTAGCTTATTGTGACAGAACAAAATTCAGATGTATTGGTATAAGAAAAATCTCACCATGCTGCTTCTGGAACAGCAGCCCTAGAAAACACTCCCTTTCTCTTTGTTAGGTCAAGAAAGACCTGTCCTCTGTTTACTAATGTATACTAATGTGTACTAATGTAATGTAACCCTAACCCTGCCCTCTACCCCAGGTTCCAGCCCAGGGCCCTGTGGACTGCAGCTGTCTAGAGTGCCTTCTGGAACAGCTGTGCGACAGCTACAATTCCCTGGGCTACTTCTCCATGGCCTCCTCCCAACACCTTCTTTGTCCTCACCACAAGACCTTCCTCCTGATGTCTGTTAATGCTTGTACTCCACAGTCCTCCAGCAGCACGTCCTCTCACTCCCAGCTCCTTACGCGCACACCTCACTAACTGGAGTGACAGCCTTTTTAAACCAGGTGTCTTGATTAGCCTTAATTAATTCTAGCAGCTTCCCAATTGGCTACAGGTGTCCTAATTAGCCTGCCTGCCTTAATTAGTTCCAGAAAGTTCCTGAGTATTCTGGAATAGTTCCTGTTATCTTACCCAGGGAAAAGGGACCTGCTTAACCTGGAACTAATGTATCTATCTTCGACCACTCTCTTGTAGCCATCTGGCCTGACCCTGACACACCAGTTATGCTTTTGGCCTACACAACATCCCCTGGCAATGAGTTCCACAGGTTGACTGCACGTTGGGTGAAGAAATGCTTCCTTTTGTTTATTTTAAACCTGCTGCCTGTTGATTTCATTGGGTGATCCCTGGTTCTTGTGTTATGTGAAGGTTAAATAATACTTCCTTATTCACTTTCTCCACACCATTCATGGCTTTATAGACCTCTGTCATATCCCCCATCAATCATTTCTTTTCTAAGCTAACCAGTCCCAGTCTTTTTAAATCTCCCCTCATTTAGAAGCTATTCCATACTCTTAAAACATTTTTGTTGTCCCTTTCCATTTCTAATGTATCTTTTTTGAGATAGGGTGACCAGAACTGCAGGCAGCATTCAAGGGGTGGGCATAGCATGGATTTATATAGTGGCATTATATTTACTGTCTTATTATCTATCCCTTTTCTAATGATTCCTAAACTTTTTGGCCTGCTGGTGCACACTGAGCAGATATTTTCAGAGCTAGCTACTAAGACTCCAAGATCTCTTTCTTGAGTGGTAATAGCTAATTTAGACCTCATCATTTTATATGTATAGTTGGGATTATGTTTTTCAATGTGCATTACTTTTCAACATTAAATTTCATCTGACATTTTCTTGCTCAGTCACCATGTTTCATAAGAAACTTTGTAATTCTTCAAAGTCAGTTTTGGACTTAACTATCTTGAGTAATTTTCTATCTTCTCCAAATTTTGCCACGTCACCGTTTACCCCTTTTTCCAGACTATTTATGAATATATTGAACAGCACTGGCGCCAGTACTAGATCCTTGGGGAA